ACACATAACCTGGAGGTTGGGTGCTAATGCTATAGTCTTTAGCCGACCCAGAATGTCTTTGGTGGATTAAAGTTCTAATTTGAACGGAACTGTATGGGATCTGGGTTCCCTGAGCCTCCGCAAATGAATTAAAAAATCACAGCTCTAACATTTTTGGCTGTCTTTCCATGTTTTCACCCCATTTCACAGTTGAGAGTCACAATGTGAACAAACTTGGACTCTTGGAATTGATCTACTCTTATCTCTATGTCATTGTTTTATTATCACGTATTCAAAAAAAGGAACTTTGAAGCAGCTCTGCTTGTTCCTCGGTCTTGCACCAAGTACATCTGAGACTTTGTTGGTGCCTATGACCACCTGGGACTATGAAGAACACAGGACTGGCCTCCTGCTGTGATGCCAGAGTCAGGACTAAACATGAAGAGGAGCGTTTCAGGTTTATGCCCAACAATCTGGAACAGTCTTCCTAATGCTGTATGGGAGACTCATCTCTAGCATGGTTAAAGTCCATGCTGAAAGTTGAGCGTCTGACTGAGTTTTGTATTTGTCGAGATTCTATAGTTTTTATTAGTTATACTTACCGTTTTAAAATGTTTGTAATTTTGTATGATTTTATGTCTGTGGAAAGCACTTTGGGTTGCACTGGATATTTTTCAAATTGACTTTTTATTGAAAAAGCATATTGTACATTCCAATTCACATTGTATACATTTACAGTAACCTTGCTCTTTCACATATTTTCATTTTCCAAATAAAACAAATCGGTGAACATGGTGGGGAGTACAAATATTGTCGTCACTTGACATTTTACTGAGAATTTTTACATAAAATCTGTATGAATAGGCTTCACATACTCATGTCCATTTAGACCATAGGGTGTAGAAAGCGTTCAGTCTCACTTTGATGAGAAAGGAGATTTTTTCCATTTTGTAAATTTCTTTGACAATGTTAATCCAGTCATCGACTGTTGGACAATCAGGCTTCAGCCAGTTCCTTGTGAATGTTTTCTTACTCGCTGCCAACAAAATGTACAAAAGTTTTCTGTCATAGCTATTAAAACCGTCCAGTTCCATTTTACCTAAATACAAGCATTCAAATGACAAGGGGAAAACAATAGAGAATACATTCTGCAAATGAAAATGAATCTCTGACCAATATTCTTGAATGACTGTACAATCCCAAAAAATATGGAAATGGTTGGCACCTTCATTGTTACATCTCCATCAGGCATCGCCTGTCCCTTGGTACTTCTTCTGAGTTGGTGTAATGAAAAATCTAATGACATTCTTCCAACAGAATTCACGCCAGACATTTGATCCAGTTGTAGCCCATTGTATTTCACATATATGTTCCCACGCCTCTTCTGTGATTGTAAGACCTCCTTCCCTTTCCCATTTTTCTTTCACATAATATGTGCTCTCCACTTCACACTCAAGAATGCTTTTTGTATAATCTAGAAACAATTTTAGATGGGGACATGGATTTTATTATTGCTAAAAATTTATGCAAAAAGCCTTGGTTAATTGAACTCATTTCAATATTTTTATTGAAGTAACTCCTTACTTGCAGATATCTAAAGAAGTCATCAGTGCCTAATCCATGTTTTCTCTTTAAATTGTCAAAAGATTGGAGCACCCCCTTGTGAACAAGGGAGTCATAGTCAGTTATTCCTTTGGAGATCCATAATTTATATATTTTGTCAGATTTATTTGGGACAAAGTCTGTGTCATAGGCACACCATCTTAAAATTTTGGAGGCCTGTTCTAAGTGACAAAATTTAACAGTTTCGTTCCATATTCTAATCATAACGTTTAATAGGTGATTTTCCTGAATATTAATGCTACTCTGTAGTTTAATATCCCCCATTAAAGCTTTCAAAGGTATTCAGTTAATAACTTGTTCTTCTAAATCCTTCCATCCTGCAGTGTAAACCGGAGAGCACATGCACACTAGAGGTCTTAACTGTGCAGCATAAAAATATTTCCGTAAACATGGCAAATTCCTACCACCCTTATTTTTTGGTAACTGTAATGTTTTATATTTGACTCCGGGTTTTTTACCCTTCCAAATATATCTGGATATAATTCTATCCCATTCGTCAAACTGTTTTTGTGGAATATAGCATGGGAGGCACTGGAATAGGTAAAGTATTTGTGGAAGGACAGTCATTCTAACTGAGTCAATTCTTGAGTGCAAATCAAAAAATGATAATGAGTTCCATATTTGTAAATCAGATTGTAATTTAGCATTCAGAGGTCCATAATTAATCTCAATCATTCTGTTAAAATCCTTATGCAAAATTATATCCAGATATTTTATTGACTCGGTTTCCCATTTCCATTTGTAACTATCTTTAATATTCTGTGGAGGGTTGTAATTTAGAGTTAAAACTTGAGTCTTACTAACATTAATTTTGTATCCTGAGAATGTACCATATTCTTCAAGCATTTTGATTGTTAAAGGCAGTGTTTGATTTGGTTGTGTAATTGTCAGAAGTAAATCATCTGCGAACAAGGCAAGCTTTTGCTCCCGTCCCAGGATTGTTACCCCTTTTATATTCTGGTTTTCCCTTATCCATTGCGTGAGCGGTTCTATATACAAGGCAAAAAGAAGAGCGGACATATTGCAGCCTTGTCTTGATCCTCTTTCGAGGGCGACTGACTCTGTGAGGTCCCCGTTGATTTTTATCCTAGCTGTAGGTTTGGAGTATAATCCTGAAATTGTCTCAATCAATGATTGATGAAAGCCAAATTTATTTAGAACTTTGTATAAGAAGGTCCACCTCACGGAGTCAAACGCTTTTTCTGCATCTAAGTTGATTATTAGTGTTTCTTGTTTTTGTTGATTAACCTGTTGCATTATATTTAACACTCTTCTTATACTGTCCTGTGTTTGTCTTTGTTTGATGAATCCTGTTTGGTCTTTGTGTATTAATATTGGTAAGATCGTCTCCAGTCGCCGTGAAATTATGGATGTGAATAGTTTGTAGTCAATATTTAAAATACTGATAGGTCTGAAGCTACCGCACTCCAATCTATCTTTTCCCTCTTTTGGGATGAGAGAAATGATTGCTTCATTCCATGATGTTGGAGTCATTTTCTTTTCAAGCACCCAGTTGAAGGTCATGAGTAAAACTGGAGTGAGATGACTCTCTATTGTTTTATACCACTCTAGGGCTATATCCATCTGCTCCCGCCATTTTGCCTCTTTTTAATTTTGAGATTGCCAAATGATTTTCTTCTGTGGTTACAGCAGCAAGAAGCTTTTTATTATGTTCATCTGTCAATATTGGTAAATTTAATTTCTTCAGGAAGTTATCTATGTCATTCTCATTATTTATGACCAATTGCGAGTAAAGATTTTCATAATATTTTCGTAAACAAGGTTGTATTTGTACATGATCAGTCTCTATTTTATTATTTTGTGGGTTCCTAATTTTGTAAATTGTTCTCTCTGCTTGTCGTTTTCTCAGTTTGTAGGAAAGGAGTTTTAAGGATTTTCCACCTGTTTCATAGTATTGTTGTTTCATAAAGATTAATTTCTTTTGTATTGATAATGTTTCAATCTCATTTATTTCTTTTTTCAGTTCTTCAATTTCAATTTTGATTTCCTTTTTCATATTTTTAGAATGTTTCTGTTGGAGTTTTAATATTTTCTCTTCTAAGCTTGGTAATTTGAGCTGGTTGAATTTATTTAGGTAAGAGAAGATGCTTATTATTCTTCCTCTCATTACTGCTTTTAATGTGTCCCAAAGGATTCCTGGAGACACTTCGTCATTGTCATTATACTTAAGGTAGTCTTTAATCTCTTCAATTAGCTTTTGTTTTGCATTTTGGTTATTTAAAATGTTGTTGTTTAATCTCCAGAGTGTACATTTCTTCCTTGAGAGATAAACCTTCATGGCGACTGGATTGTGATCTGAGATCGTACATGGTCCAATTTCACAATCTTTCACGTTTAGTAGGTCATTTTTGAACATAAATATATAGTCTAACCGGGAGTAGACGTTATGAGGGTGTGAGTAATGAGTATATTCTCTTTTTGTTGGGTTGTTTTCCCTCCACACGTCTGCTACACCGGTCTCTTCCATTAGCTGCAGAATCTTTTTTCCCATCTTTCTAGAATAACCTTTTCCAGTGGAAGAGTCTAGCGAGGCTTTTAGGGGGACGTTAAAGTCCCCGGCACATATCAATATCCCTTGGCTTTTTGTTGAGATTAGTTCAAATATGTGTCTATAGAAGGATAAATCACTGTTTGGAGGTATGTATACATTTAATAATGTTGTCAAAGTACCTTCGATTTTTCCTGTAATCATGATGTATCTACCTTCGTTATCTTTTAATTCAGAGATCATATCATATCAGGGTCGCAACTCCTCTCCTCCGTCCTGAACTATGAGATGAAAAGAAGACATGTTTATATCCCATTTTTTTAAGTTTTACATGTTCATCGTCTGGGAGATGTGTTTCCTGTAAAAATGCAATTTCTGTTTTATCTCTTTTGAGTTTTGACAGTATTTCCACCTTTTAACCGGATTATGTAAGCCATTAATATTAAGTGTAGTTAGTTGTATAAGTTTGTTGTCTAAGTTGCAAATTTATTGTGACATTTTGTTTCATAACTTCCCCACATTAAAAACGAACTCAGAACATAAGTAGAACATACACACTGAAAATAAACAAGAAAAATGGTGAACTTCCAAGGCAGGGGTCCTTGCGGTGGACCCTTTTGGGCCTCTAAAGGCGGTGTCCTCATGAGTTCGTTCAAGGGGCCTTCATTGGCGGTGGCCTGTGCCGCAAGGGAGTTAATCCCTAAAGAACCACCATCTTGTATTTCACACCAGAATATTCTTATAATTTGAACTTACATTTTTGATGATAAACAATAAAAGGTTCTCAGGAAAAAGTAGTGCCGGAAATCTCAATGTTCAGTGGGGGTAGCTGTACTCCTCTTGAAGGCTCTCAGCTTCTTTCTGTAACCGGGGTCTGGTGCTGGATGAGATGTGTCGGATCTGGTAACTCTAGATACTCTGCTCCAGGTCAACTGCTTCAGCTGCTCCAGGATGGATTCTGATGACTTTATGACTTTAACTTGAAATCCTCGTTTGGTCATGTCTTCACTTGCCTCCTTCGCCGTGTCATAGATTCTAATCCCTTCTGCATATTTAACTTTCAGCCGGGCAGGGAAAAGTGTTTGGAACTTGATTTGATTGTCTTTTAGTATATTGCGCATCTCGGCATATTCTCTTCTTTTTTTGATGATGAGAGGTGGATAGTCGTTGTCAAGCGTTATTTGTTTGTCTCTCCAGGTAAATCCTCTCTGCTGCCATGCTTTGAGGAGTATGAGCTCTTTAGTCTTAAAACCCAGAAACTTGACAATAATGGAGCGTGGCGGGGCACCACTCGGGTGGACAGGGCCAAGAGAGCGGTGTGCGCGCTCGATGCGTATCTCCACATCAGCGCTCAGCTTTAACCCCTCACGTAACATTACTTCAACAAATGTGCTCATGTTGGGGTATTCTTGTTCCATAGTCTCTGGCACGTTATACATTCTGACATTCTCTCTTCTAGTTCTACTTTCCAGATTTGTCAACTTGTCTACTAACCCCGTGTGGAGCTGCAAAAGACCAGTCAGCGCATCTTCAACGTTCTGTATTCTCTCTTCAGCTTTTTCAATTCTCTCCTCAGCTTCTTCCATCCGGTTGTTAACTTTGGCAATATCTTCTTTCAGACTTTTGAGTTTCTCATTAGTTTCCTGTCGGAATGCTCTCAACTCTTGTAGGAGTATATCAAGTGCCGTTGAATCAGCCATGGCATGCGTTTCTGCGCTAGCTTGTTGTAGTTAGCTTGTTAGCACTGATGTCCGCACTGGTTAGCATTAGTTCATGTTAGCACTTTCCAAAGTTTGTACGGATATTTCGACGCACTTTCAAACCTGGTAATTGGTGTACTTCTCGTCCCCTCGTAGTAACATAAATGTGTGGATGTGAATTTCTTTGGTTTAGAGGGGGTTCGTTATTAATTTGTTTGGTTCTGTCGGGAGCTCCCTCACAGTGTGGCCGTCGTGATGGTGTTCCAACCGGAAGTCCCAAAAGGCTTACTTTTTATGTTGAATCGCAAATGTTTAGCACCGCCCCCCAACTCACTCACAGGCTTCTCATTTAACCTACGCTCTCCTCCCACGAAGCCATCTAGTTTTATTTGCGATCTGATACGTGTGAAAACATTAGCATTAGTGCAACTAGCTGTACAACAATCACTGATGAAATGTATATGTAAAAGCAAAGCACTGCTAACAAAATATGTAACTGAAAGTTTACCACTAGTTTTGCGTCCAAATGTAGTTCAAGGTGGCCCCGCTCCCGCAGGTTTTTATAGCAAGGATACGATGTAAGCTAATGCTATGTCTATTCACCCGGGCTTGATTTCTCCATGGATCCTTTTTTTGCTTTAGTTCCCTCTTTTCTTCCTCACTGTTGTGTTTTTCTCTGCTAATGTGATGGGAAACAAGTGCGTTTTGTTTTATTTATGCATGCTGAGTGTTTTTACTGCTATGGTTTTCAATTGCTGTTGTGAGTTTTATTGTTTTGCTGTGATTTCAAGCGCATGCTTTTAGACTGTTTAATTGGTTGCCCTCACGACAACGCACACCCCACCCCTGATGAGGATGGACCAGGACACCTGCGGGTGCAATCACCGTGAATATAATCACCTGGGGATCACAGCAAAAGGAGATTGGGACCGCGCAGACAGGAGACGCGACACTGGGGAGCGGACGCGCAGCGAGGGAAGGCGAGCCCGGAAGGAGAGGCCAGCACGCACCGGGCCAGCACCATGGCACCCACGCTCTGGAACCCCGCACCACGACGAGAACTACACAGAGGCAGGGCATTTGGACCCTGCCCTGCCGGTGAGTTTTGCTCTTGTGTAGACGTGGTGTATGGAAGCCTTGGGCTGAAGGGGGGATCCTGGGTGCTGTGCGTGGCTGGCCCGTGTGTGTGCTGTGCGACAGGGCTGGAGCTCGCAGCTGGACCCGGGCGCCCCGTAGGAGGGGAGTGAGGCGGCGCAGCGTCCAGGCCGGGAAGAGAGGCGAGGGACCGGAGGCAGCGAGCACCACCAGCGAACAAGTCAGAGGATGCAGCGGGAGAGCGGGGAGCTCTCCCTGTCCGTGAGTACCGCTCAACCGCTCTAGCTCCCGCTGCATCAAGCGGCCTCAGGCCTGGGCTTCCTGGTGGGTGTGAGCGGGAGAGCTGGCCCTCTGCCTCTCTGTTGCAGGTACGACGCCAGCAGCTGCGCGCGCGGAACCCCCCCCCCTGATGCCGTGGGAGTGCTGCCCATCGTCCATCTGCCGGGCGAGAGGACCAGGCCCTTTGGACGCCATCATTTTATCATTTTATCATTTTATCGTTTTAATTCTTTTTTAATTACTATTTTATCTATTTTATATTGTATTAAACAGGATTTTAATTCATTTTAACTTCTGGTTTTATTGGAAACACCCAGCTCTTTTAATCCATAAATTATTTTATTCGGCACCTTTTCTGGCAGTTTTTTAATCTACCTTTTTAATGTCAATCCCTCGAAAACCCTCCACTATCACACTAAGAAGATCCATGAGAAATTCAAATTTTATATGTATGGTAGAGATCTGGAAAGAGTTAGTTTTATGAGCTGCATGGGATACATTTTGACTCTAAGCTCACTTGGCGTAACCATATTGAAAATGTAATAGGCAAATGTAAAAAAGCTATCAATGTAATTAGATGTTAGTGCAGACAAGAATGGGGGGCGGATTTGGTTTAAATTAAAAGATAATATGTTGGTTTAATTAGATCTATTGTTGATTATGGATGTTTGTGTAGTAGTAGGCCCTGCGTGCCCGGTGGCAGCCTATTGCGTGCGGTCTCCTCCCTTTAAAAGGAGGATGGATCACCTGCACCACCTCTTTGCCCGCCTCTGACGTCACTGCTGTCCCAGGAGCAGTGAGCTGCACAGCATGGAGTCTGGCTCCACAGCTTGGACAAACACAGTTGCCGGCCCTAAAGCTGGCGCTTCATATTGAGCTCACAACTAGTAAGTACAGTGCCATTCCCCTTCAATTGTCTCCTTATCCATCCTGCTTTATATAAAATACTTTACGCTCCCCGCAGCGCTCTGTGCGTGGCGTCTTGTTGCGTCTTGTTCCTCCAGTTGCGGTGCAGGGTCAACTGAGGACACCTCCCGCATGTTTGGTGTGCGTGTTGTCACATACCATTACGGTAAGCTGGTGTGTGCCGCGTATCCGCCCATTAACATTACTTTCCAAACTTAGTGTTAACTAAGCGCTCTTTATAAGGTGGGGCACCCGGTTCTACGCGCCTCCTGCGCTGGGTCTCTAGGTGAGCGCTTCACGCAGAGGATTCATGGTGCGTATTTTCCCGGCTCCTGAGCTGCTTCGTGGGGTTTTACCTGTACTGTAAATTCTAAATTGTCACTTCTTTTAGGTCCAGTCTTCTCGAGCCTCTCCTTTCCTCTCCTCCTGAGTTGCCTTGGCTCATGTTTTCCTGGGGTCCATACAGTGTGGTCCATTTAGTGGCCATCAGTTAAAGGAGGTGCCTGTAACTTTTGAAATAGCTGCTGTGAGTTTGCACAAATGCACATGTAAGCACCAATGCACTTTAAAACAAGTTAATCTGGGGTCATTGTGTTTGTTTTGTGTACTGTGCACTGCATTTTAAAAACCATTTTAATTATGAACTTAAGTGAAGGTTAATATAATCAAATAAATATTATAAACCTTTTTCTAATTTTGTCTCTGTCCCTCAGTTACTTACCTGTGTTAGCCTTAATCCTTTATTTATTTTCCCTTCGGGGTGGCGTTGTTGGCAACAAACTAGTATTTAAAATTATCCACCAGTATATCACAGCCCTCGCACCACATTTGGCTTATGGATCAGCAGCAAAAACTGAATTGAAGAAGATTGACATTGTCCAGGAGACAGCCCTAAGACTATGCTCAGGGACAATGAGAACCTCCCTGATACCAGCGCTTCATGTTGAAGTCATTGAAATGCCTTTTGAACGTTTACAAATATCACTGTCTTATTATATTCAACTAAAGACACATATGAAAGACCATCCAACCAAAATTGTCCAAAATTGTCCACAAAGTGTAATACAGAGTTGTTCAGTACAAGTATACACGAAAAGACAAAGCAAACTGCAATAGATAATCTGGAACTAAGCCCATCAGTGCTTTATCCACCGCATCCACCATGGTTGCTGCCAGTTCCAAATGCAGACACGTCCTTGCATGACAAGTTGAGAAGATTTCAGGGAAATAATGGACAGTTGGCCTTGATGTATGTGGATAGCCACTATGGATATGTGCACATTTTTACTGATGGATCAAAAAAGCCGGATACAGGGCAGAGCCGGCGCTTCCTATACGCAGATTACGCAGTATGCGTAGGGCCCCGCAGCAGGAAGGGCCCCGGAGTGCGGACTCTTTTCTTTTTTTTATCGCTCTCACTTGTGCAGTTATGAGGCTACCTATCTTTGATTGGTTGTTTAAAGAGCGACTAAACACTTGTGACCAGCCTTACTCCGCCCACATGAAGATTTGAAAATGTTCTCTTAAAAGGGCGTTGCCTGGTGGACCAAGGGACAAGAAGGGGGGCTTGGAGTTGGGCGTGGTCTGGGCTATGATTGACAGCTCACTTGTTAAACAAAAAAAACCAGACAGTTGTCATTGCTGCTTAAAGCAATAGTTTACACACCGGAAAGTCTCATTCGACCTTTGTTTACACACTAAGATTATTGCAGAGCTACACACCTGAAACAAATTCACATAATTTTCTCATAATTACTCATGTAATTTAATTTTAAACCACTAGATGTTGCCAGAATACTCCTGCCTGCAGCTGGGGCGTGTATGAGAGTTGAATGGGTTGATATCACTGGCGCAGAGAGAGACACACGTCACACAAAACAACTGATGTCATAGATTATTACAAAGTCAATGGGGAGGCCAGGACCAAATTCAAATGTAATACCACCAAACAAGGTTGAGAGGGCGCCACAGACGTTTTTTGGCTCAAAAGTGAGATTTTATCTAATTTGAACTAAAATGTCAGAATAATGACCAGGATATGTAGAGAGAACTACAATTAACATATTTATGCAGTTTGAGTTGAAAAAAGTTGATTTGATGTTCAACCGTTCTTTAAGTTGTCACTTGCTGTCTACCATGATCCTCATACGTTACGTCCTGTTGTATATTTTAAATATACACTATACAGATGTGACAATAATTTGACCATTTTGAACGATGGTCCTAATTTTCATCATAGCCAAACAAGACCTGTTCTCTCAGGTCTCAAGGACACAAGATAGTATAGGAGTCATAAAGATAGACTGCTGCTTAAACAGGGCGAATTATTAACTTTAAATAATAAACATTTTCCTGCGCTCTCTTTAATCATCTTGCGAGAGCAGAAGGTCAAACCACAATCAGGCAGAAAGGGGATTCACCAACGGCATTCTGACGCCTCCCAGTGGACAAGGGACGTCAGCACACCCGGAAACTCCACCCTTGGGCGCATATGGATGACGTCATCGGAAGTCTCCCTCATATGAGCCCCCTGAAGGTCTTTTGAGGTCAGTCAGGACAGGGCAACCCACAGGGAGAGAGCAGGCATAGTTTAGGAGCTTGTTGAATTTCTGTATCTGATTATCATGATAAATTAAATACAGATGTTAAACTTGAAGATCCTTGCCTTACTTCTGCATCAATTTTGAATACGTCTGTCAAAGGGAATTTTTGACTACAGTCCTTACGCTTTCAACCCTCCCTTCCCTCCACTTTCTTGTTGTCAGTCGCACTGTCACTCCCGTATTCGTCCCGTAAACCGGATTCGTCCGGAAGTTCAGTTTGCGCATGTCAAAAAGTTTAATATGTCCTTAAATGGTGACTGGTTAAGTTTTAGGCGTCTGATTAAGATGGTTAAGGTTAGGGTTAAGGCTGGGTTGGGGTTATTTTATGGGAATGGCTGGTTAAGTTTAGGCATGAATAGGTAGTTTTTTATATTTACTTCCGCTTCCGTCCAGATTTTGTGACGTAATCTACTGCTGCGTATGCTCATTGGATCAAACTGAACTTGCGGGCGAATCCGGTTTCCGGGACGAATACGGGAGTGACACGCAAAGCCACATAGAGTCTATGGCAGCCCCGAGCAGAGGCTGAGACGCTATGAAGCAGAGTTATGAAAAAAGGAAAAAAAGACAGCGAACTGCGGGAGCAGTCGGGTAAAAAAACGTATAACGTTTATAACTTATAAAAACATATCCGAGTTATTCTATCCATGCTAAATGTGACATGTACATTTCTCTTGTGTGAGATCAATAAAGTCTATCTTATCATATCTTTTATCGTGTTTGAAAAGTTCAAATGTTATTTTATCTTGTGTTGAATCAATCACTAATAAAGTCTTATATTGCTTGATTAGTGTGAATTATTTATTTGTAATATACTGTATATGTGTAATGGAACGCCTGCTTGCTTTAATTTTTATGGTTTCTTGTGTCAGGAATGAAGCAGACAGAGATCGGGTCGTGGTGCGCCAAACTCTGGAAGTTTATTTAAGTTTCTCTCAAGTTCCAGTGGTTATCATTGTTTCTTTCTCTCAGACAGAATGGAGTCAGTACACAGTTTATATAGTCATTGTCACGTCACACATCGAAAGACGTACATGTCACACACAGACAGTCACATCATAGTCAAAATAATCAGAGTCCTTGTAGAGTCCTGCACGTAGGCCATATTGCTAACTAATACTAACACTTGAATTAGGTGTAGGGCCCCTATGCTGACTTCTGCTTAGGGCCCCAACAAGGCAAGCACCAGCTCTGATACAGGGAAAGAAGTGATAGCATTTGTGGTACCAGAGTTTGACCTAAAGTTTTCTGCAAGAGTCTCAGATCATTTATCAGTGTATTCAGCAGAGTTGACCGCGACTGTTATGGCACTGCAATGTGTAACAGGTAAAAGTATTGTATTCCACTGTATTATAGTGGAACAGCGCCCTCTTGGGGTGACAAATCCTTTAAGGCTTGGGGAAAAATGTGCTCGGTGCCATTTTCACTATAAGCAAGCCGAGGTAAGGTCACAAATTTGGTGTGTCTGCTAAAGTTACATTTGTATGTTTATTTTTCAATTGTATGACTGTGTGGGATGCTTGTAAACTTGAAAACGTCAATGTTTAGTTAAATTAGATTGCAGTTCAGTACATATAGGAATGTTAACCTTTTAAAATGTATACCCCACTAGCTGCTGCTCGCTTGCGGTGTCCCAGGTCCAAGGCTGACCAGCTATTTTGTGTGTTGCACAGGTACATTTATTTAATTGTATATTATATTTGGCCATTTTCACTATAAGCAAGCCGAGCTGCTGCTCGCTTGCGGTGTCCCAGGTCCAAGGCTGACCAGCTATTTTGTTTGTTGCACAGATAAAGAACTTGTTATACTACCCTGTCTCCTGGCGGTTACTCTACTCACAACACAATGCAGAGTCAACCACGTTACACTGGTGCCGTGACCGCTTTCTGTGGCGACATTGAGCAGGGGATTAGCCTGTGGACGCGCGGGAGCTACATCCAGGATTCAGCGGGTCTTACCGCCGCTGTCTGCCACCTCCCACGCTTCAACTCGGGGCCGCTCGTGCGCCTCTCTCCTCTCCGCGCGTGGACTGGTGCGTGCGCCCGCGGAGCTCCACTCGCACCCGTTGCGACTTGGAGGAGGTGGTAGTGATCTGTACCGGTGCTGGATGCCCTCGAGTTTTGCCATTGATGAGGTTGAATGGTGTTTACATTACTGCTGAATGACTTTGTTTTACATATGACCGCGTTTTGAGGCGTTTTGATGAGTGTCTTGTTTGATGAGTTTTTTTTTTTCTCTTCAAAAATTCTGAGTGTGGTTTGAGGCTGTTTTCAGAACTATTTAAATTTTGCCTCACGTTTTTTTTTGGTGCAGTTTTCTATTGAGTTATGGAGAGTATTGGAAGGGGGAGGGGGCTTCGACTCTTCACTCCTGTGTCTTTATCTGGTTTGGGCAGGGGCGCACTTTTGTTTTCCCCAGAAGCATTCACACCAACTTTTGTGAATCAGAACTGTAATGTTTACCCTGATGCAAAAGGAAATGAAGGTGTGAATGAGAAAACGCTGACCGATATGGCTTCACATATTGGGCTATCAATTGGGGAGAGTATTGCATCTTGCATTGAGTCACGCCTGTGTACTGCATCTGGTGCAGTGGGGGCATCTGTAATTGACCCGTTCCTATTGAATGTCATTGTGCGCCAGGACGTTAAAGAACCTGTGGGGATGGTAGTGACATGTGTTCTGTTCAGGAGTGGGAGGTTATGATGCTGTCATATATGAAGAAAAGGGGAATTCCTGTGTCAGATCAAGCTGTCAAAGCTCACGGGGAGGGCGCGGGATGTAGTCAGAGTGGGCATACATAGTAAGCGAGTATTGACCCTGACTGACGGCCCAGAGCCCGTTTTTGAGATGTTAAAACAGCACTTCAGTGACACAC